GCCCTCGAGGACTGGAGTTTGATATCCCTGAGCTAGATAATGACCCTTTACTCACTGCCTATGTTAATGGTTTAAATACCAAATAATTAATAAATATTAATACGCACAGTGGAAACTGTCTAAGCTCTACAGAAGCTAACATTTGCAGTGTTCTTTATTTCCTCTGTTGGTACAGCCAAAAGAGGTGCAGCAAATTCCCGCCACAAAAAATAAGCGGTGCTCATGGACTGAATGCTATGCGGACGCCTGGAAAAAGTGTGTCATCTTGCATTGTGCCCATGTATTTCAGCCTCCCAAGATGCATTTTCTTCAAAATGTTTTGGGTAAAAATATGTGAATCCATGACAAATGACAAATCTCTTTTGTCATTCTTTGCATAGTTTTGAATGTTAAACCAAATTACATTTCCAGAGCCTGGATGTCAAATTATCTGGACAATAGTCAATTACAAAAAAAGAAAAAAAAATGGAACATTTTAATAACAGATTTCCTTTCTTTTACATTATATTAGTGTTTGCTTGTCCGGGGTTGTACTGTTAAAGCAAATGTTTTTTTTTTGTTTTTTTTTTCAAAAACTAGCTCAATAGCATTTTTAAATGCAAACAATTTTGAGTTAAGCAAACAGAAAGAAGTACATCCTTTTTATGCAATTACCATTTGAATACGACGTGTAGATGTGAAAATCGATAGGAGTATCTGAGTCAAACCAAAGGGCACAGAAGGGAACTTTGAAACTTATCTACCTGCTTATCACTTCTGAACACATACTGCTTCGTAATGTCTTCGAACAAGACGGAGGCAATCCGCTGGCTTCTCCCGGGCAGAAAATAAATTCCCTTTAAGTGTGAAATCTGTCTTACATCAGAAAAGTGTGGAGGGAGGGGGCTTTAGATTGCGTTTCTATAAACAGCTGATTAAAAACAGATGCTACCTTGGCAGCAGAAAAAACTGACAACACCGAAACTGTGCAGAGCCGACACGCAATGGTCATTTCCTTTTTGGACTTTCAAAGATTTATTCTAGATTAGTTTTTATCACAGCTCTTTTGCTGTCACATAACACAGGGGTCATGGGGTCAGAGACTAAATTTTGCAACATGAACTCATGAAACAAATGATGTGTAAATATAGCGGGACAGCGTGTGCTGACTCTTCTTGCAAGAGTAACTAGTAACAAGTGATAAAGATGTGTTATATTAAGATGTAAAAAATAATAATAATAATAATAATAAGAGCTTGTGGGAGTTTCCCCAAGCTTGTAGGGAATGGGCAATACCACTGGTCAGCCAAAGAAAGGTCAAGGGGAAAACCCTTTTCTAGGACACCTGTAGGAGTGTTGCAGCTTCAAGAGCATATTGAAGAACATGCACTGGGGGTTTAAACAGGAAATCACCCTACAGAGTGTTTTTCTAGAAAGAGTTATGACCTAGTTCTAGTCTCTCATGGCCACCTGAGTGAGTCTATTGAAGAGTTACAGACTCCAGACATGTCTAATCCCTTGATGTAACAAGAAAATGTTATGCTTAGAGAAATACGCACATCAGGCCCTTTTTGCTTGAGGAAACCAAACTTTACTACTTGCATGATTTGATTCCTGAAAATGTGTATCCAGACTACTTGAAAGAACTACTTATACTCTATTTAAGACAAGAAAAAAATTGTTCAGCCAATTTCCAAAAAAACAGCAATCAGCCAAATCTATTTCCTTTAAATCTTCCCTATCTGATC